CGTTGTATTTTAAAAGCCACCTAGCTCAGCTTTTGCTTTGGGAGGGCGGCGCAGGGTGTGCGAGGTCACGGCAGTTGACGCAAGCTCCCGGCTCTGAGAGGCCCCCGGGGAGGCCGCGGGGGTGCCCTCGGCTGACGTTCTGCCCCGCGGTGCCGTCCCCGTCCCGCCCTCACCCCTGCTGTATTGTGACAAGGCCAACCTCCAGGTGCCACAGCTGTGGATGCGGGCCAGTGGGTGGCCCAGTAAAATGGCCCAGTAAAATGCCAAGAACATGAAACACTCATTTTGCCTTCCATTGCAAAAGCAGTTACAGGGTAAACGTTACTGTGCTTATCAGTTGGATGACACCTCCCTTAAAAAAAAATAAAAAACAAAAAAAAAAACCAACAAAAACCCAAACCCCCCAAACCCAAACAAAAGCTCATACATTTGACAGGCCTTGGTGGAATACAGAAACAGTTAGGTCAGGGTTATATCAGAATATAATTGCTGCATTTTCTTGCTTCTTCCAACATATTCATGAGACTTCATATTACTCTTACAAAACACTCCTGATTTTCTCCAATCAAGATTATTTACAACAATTATCTCTATAAAGGTTTCCACCGAGACTCTCAGGCTTTTCACTACTTCCTACCTGTGATATTTTTATTTTATTGCTCTTGGTTAGCTTTTCTTTTAATTATGGTTTTCTACAGCAGATGGATTTCTTATTCCTTACAGGTGTACACATTTGTATTACTTGTAGTCTTCTTGGGGCAATGCATACTAAAGGAGCAATGAGCAGTAAGTGATGGGGAAAGAAAAGACCTTCTGTTACACTCATTAATTCTCTGGTTGAACAGACAGATTCATACGTCAAATTTACATGCAAGGACCGAACAGTAACTCTCCCGCTGTCATGACCAACATGCAGAGCTCAGATTCAAACCGAAATAAAATGACTTTTGAAGTCCACTGGGTACCATATACATTACCTTCATTGCTTTTGCTCCCCGTTGGTGAAACAGAAGCTGCATATGCTCAGCCAGCCCTACCTTTACTGCTGCATCTCCATTCCTGATTATTTTCCTTGCTGCCGTGCTGCAGTGGCAGGACACACGGATCCCTTTCCTCATGTGACAGCTGGCATTTCTACTGCTTTGCTGTTCAGCACTGCGAGGCTCAGTGATACCTGTGCCTCCTTCGTGGTACTTGCCCTCTGGTTGCTGTAGCACTAGTGGGTTTGTGGCATTTGCCAGTCAGCCTGGGGCAGAGAGGGCATTTCAGGCTCTGTAACTCACAGTTTTGTGGAGTGAGTTAAAAAACTCACCAGTAAGTGAACCGTTTAGACCCCACCTGCAAAGCTGAAGAGTCCAGTCACAAAAGCTCTCCTCATCTGAATACAGAATAATGTAAATGTGTATGTGGATAGTGGGTTTCATAAATGATTTAGCATGTCATCGATGCCACAGATACACACGGTAACCCTGTATAGCCATCGTAGAATAATCTGATCAAATATACACATCTAGCTAATTTTTGCCAAATCAAAGTTTGCACAAGTGCTTGTGCTACCACAGCTGGGAATGAGCGGCTAAGGGAAAAGAGAGGAGAGCAAGCTCCCCTGTTTTGGTGGAAGCATGGTGGCACCATGTTGAATGAGAGTGGTCATTGAGCCACAGCTTGATAGCAAACGTTCCTCTCAACACATTGCACTATAAATTCACAGTGTTTTACTGCCCCTCTTATTCAGCTTATAAGGGGTCCCGTGCCTGTTCCGTGTCCCCCCCCCTCTCCCCCCGATAAATGAACCAAAACTTGTTTACACATTTTTTAACATACATTCTTGGCAGCCTTTTCTGTATTTATAACTGACAGTCTGCAGAAAAAAATACGACTTAATATACGTATACAAAAAATATACTCATCACTTAAGGAAGGGCATGTGTCTGTAGGACTTTTTTACTTAAACTCGCTGTAAATGCTAGCTGATTACTTTGTCCCACATTAATGCATGTAATGTACAAATTTGCTAAGCATTTTAATCTCGTTTGATAAATATTTTAGCTTGAAACATGTTTAAACTAAAACATGGTTCTCCACATAAGCTTTTAAAGCAAAATTTGATGTGACCTGAATCAAGCATTTCCTATTTTAAACTCAGCTTTTAGGTAGGTAGGTCACTAGCTAGTCACTTTATCTAGCATAACCTGCAAGTATAAGTTATATTGCCATCTCACTACCTTGACTAAAAATAGAGAGAGAGAAAAAGAAGGTGTTTTATCTTCCTTCTTCTCAGAACTGAGATCTTGCAGAACAAAAAACTTGCCTGTACTTCAGTGTAAAACTATGTGTCAGTGAAGCTGCAAAGTAGTAATCCTCCAGCATCATCACAACCTTCAGATGACCTGTAGAAGAACAGCCTTCAAGGATGTCAAACCAGGACATTGGAACAGCTTTGAAACTTTGGTGAGGTTATACAAGCCTATTTCAGAGAAGTGAACTAACAACAGACTCAGTTTTGCTTCCGATTCTAGAGTTAGCTATGACACTGACAAGTCTTGCCTTCTGTCTCTGTTGCTTCCACTTATCATATTCCATCATGTTATTCACAGCATCATGAGACCTTGTCCTATTGCTGTTGGGATACTTTTGTAACACACCTGACTAATTTATTCTTTCCACTTCTTCACCCCACCCCTTCTGAGTGGAGTGAATTAACCCCATTAATTATCTTATTTTGTAATCACATAACTTCTTTTAAAGATCACATTTCCACAATGATTCTTGAAAACCTGTCAGCTGCTTTGGATGCCAGGCATTATTGACTGGGCAAAGCCCACATAGATCTCGACACTGCATCCTCCCCCTAATGCCCAGTCAGTGTCAGAAAGGAAACATCTCTGTACACCTTCTTCTCTCATTGCTCTTATGTAGCATGCTGGTCAATTCAGTAGCACCAGTAAGATATGGATGGAAAGCTGCAGATGGTCACATTGCTTCTTCATTTCTTCATTGGCACTCTAAACAGTACAATTTTGCTCCATCTGCACACCATCTATTCTTTCTCCCTCTCATAAAGGATTACACAGTACAAACTGGATGTGGACTACTGGACTGCTGAGATGATTAGTTGTTTTCTTTCTTTTTTCACTTTTCTATTGGATCCTCATCAATGTTGTTTAGATAATTTCAAATTTCTATAAATACTGACCCTGGCCATCAGTATGAGCTGGGCAGTTTTTCCCCTTCTGTGAATTCATGTGAGGAAAAAAGAGTGAATTCGGAGAAAAATAGAAACTGAACAATCTGCTTTTCTGACTATCATAAATTCAGCAGAAAGCCCACAAATGTTAGAAAACATGACAGGCTGCCTTCTGCAGATGCCAAGGTTGATTAGGTTGGGGGGGAGTGGTGGGTGTCCTTGTCAGGTGTTTTTTTTGTTTACAAGAGCTTATTACTCCTATTACTGGAATATTTTAATTTTTTTTTTTTTTTTTTAAGTAACAGACTATATAGTAACAGCAAAAGTGGAATTACAAGCTAAAGTTGGCAACTCTTAGGGTTACTCAGGGAATCAGAGCACAAAAGCAGGGCCCTGAAATGCACTCCTCTGTCTAGCCAAAAGCTCCACACCTGCCTCAGAGCAGGACTTTCCCTTGAGCAGGGAACTTCTCTCATCAGTCAACAGAGAAATGTTGAGGTGTTGATCTCATCTGGGGTACCCAGACCCAGCAAGGCAAGGCTTTAGCTCCACTTTAGATGCACAGCCAGGCACCTACTTTCACCTGAATGAACATGCGAGTCACTTCTTTCAAAACTAGAGTACAGCTCGGTTTTCTTAGCAGTGTGCAAATGGAAGTGTTCATCGTTCCTTCTTTGTCATATAATAATACAATATA